AACCGAAAAATTTTATACATGGTGGACCCAGTGACCCGTTGATTATTAGCCAAACATTGCTACCATTCGACCAACGAGCCCGTCAATTAAAAAAAATAAATATTTCTAAAATTCAAGGTTACTCTACGAAACGCCCTTAACGTCGAAAAGCTCCCGAAGCGGGACCAACGGTTGTCAGAATTTCGCGTTTATGCCGATTGAGATGTTGCAGCTAATTTTTAGACATTTTTAATTAGTACCGGGTTCACGACTGCACACCACTTCTGCTAAGTGCACTGATGTTATTGAGTGCAAATCATTAAAAATAGAGAGTCGTTGACGATTCCGATTAAGGTATTTTTTTAAACTCCGCTTGAATTCGACCTCCTTCATAGTAGCCATAATAAGTCAAAGCTAGGTAACCAAAGACATTATTTAGTTCTACTGCTTTGTGATCAAAGATTTTAAGTAAACGACGATATTTAGTTTTATAAAAATTAGTATTTGAATTTGAAAGTCATCGTAGAATTTACTAACTCATTCGGTATCTCAATTGGTTAGACACGAAGGAACGCTGGTTCAAATCTTGCTACTGTTGTTAATTTTTTTTCAATCTAAAATCGATTTTTAACAAGTAATATTTATTGTTCTACCAAAAAATACTATAATAAGTATTTTTTGGTAGAACACGATTTTTATCTGTTTTGTGGGTAATAGGTACATTACAGAATTATCGAAATGTTATTAACTTTTGAGAAACAGTAGTACAACTTAGTAGTCTTTTAGGGCGTATTTCCCTCGAAACAATATCTACCGCAAAATATGCACCATGAAATTCGGGGCTTAAGTAAAATCCTCAAAAATTGACATAAAAAATACCCGAGAGATTGCCAAAACTTTCTGCGGAGTGAAAAAATTTCCGAATCAATCTGTTGATTAGTAAGATTTTATTTTTTGGGGTGACATTAAACAGTGTTTAATCACCCCTTGGCGATTGCTTGGGGGGAAGGTGGGGATACTTAAAATTAATGACAGTTTAAAAATGGGTCCCCGGGGATGTTTTGCTTCGGTCAAAATATTTGGAGATGCTTTTATGAAGTTTTTTTCGCGACATGCGAAACAGGTATCTTGCGCGGTACTTAACTTGAAGTTATAATTAGTTATATTCTTATTATACAACTATATAAAATAGTAAAGTTTTTTATTAATAGCATATCATATATTATGTTGTCCGAAATTTTAAAGTTTTGGACAACATATATGAAATACTTATCAAGCTAAAAATATAAGTATTATCTATACTTTAATCGTACGCGTTTAAATTAAACACTTTTAACGGTTTAAAACGAGAAATATACTAATTAACCTATTTACAACTTATTTTACCGCTCGAAGTTTCGCCAGTGATTAAAATATATCGCGTTTTAAACCGTTAAAATGTTATATTTAAAGCTTGTAATTTATTTAAATGGGAAAGTTGTGAGATTTGGTTCGTATATTACATGGAATATTTCAAAAGAAAAAAAACGTACTTTACTATTGAGATTACAGCTTTAAAATAACCCAAGATAAACAAATATCTATCAAAGTAAAGGAGAATATGAAAAAGAAAATCGATAGCAGAAAATATTTTATTAGTATGTCTGTGGAGGAGATGGTCTGCAGATAGCGACTGTAAAAATTAAATTTTCCAAGTCGATTTCATTTTTCATTAATTCTTCAAGGGTCATGATTGTGGATATATAATACTAGAAGTGCTAGCGCGTCTTTGGTATTATTAATAACTGATATTGTTATATAATAGTTTAATAAGTAAATGTGTAAAAATAATTGTATATTAAATGAAATTATTATTGGTATCATTATTACGGTAAATTTTATTGAAATGAAATGTAGAAAAATTTGCATCAAAGTGTTTTATTCAAATGTGTACTACTCGCGTAAACTATAGACAGTATTTAAGGATTATATTTATTTTTCTTTGTAGACTCAGACATATTTTTATCTATATCGCATCCAGAGATTCTTTGATCGTAAAAACGAAATCGATACAGAGTTTCTATATAAAATTTCCCTAAGGGGAGGGAAGGAATTTTTTTCTTCGCAAACTCTATTTAACTCTGAAACGGCGGCTAATTCAAGAGGAGATGGCTGATTAATTATTGATGGCCTTTTCCGATTCGGACGAAGAATATTTGTCTTTGATGTTAATTTTTTTTAAACGAAATGAATAGATAATGAGCGCTGGTTTGATGGTTCGTTGTTTTTTCGTTCGGGGTGGATTTGACACTTGTTTTGATACTTAATTTATAATTTATGTGCTTCAAAGCAAGCAAAAGATTAATTTTGGCTATAGGAAGCATTGCTATAATTAAGGATTTGTCAATATTTTTACTAATCTGGGATATTTTTATCTTAAATGTGTGTCCTTTTTAATAAAACACCTTAACGGTTTTAAACGCAATATATATTTATTAAAAATATTTAAAAATTATTTTAACTATAGCCCGACGTTTCGGATGCTTTGCAACAGCCGTGACCACGGTACGGCACGTAGTTAAAATAATTTTCAAATAAGTGTAAGTAATATAAATTGCGTTTTAAACCGTTAAATGGTTTTATTTAAACGTGTACTATGTAAGCTGCACGCTGTGTTTTTATCTGTACTTTATGTTTTAATTTCTGTTCCTTACTGTGAGGTTCTGTTTAAATCAGGTAAATAATGAATACTGCATCATAAATAAATTAAATAAATACTGCATCTGCCTGGATTAAAATCATAGTAATATAACAATTGAGCCATAGAGATTAAAATACAGGCATAGCAATGCATAAACATATAGATGGTGTTGATAAGTGACGGTCACCGATGCGCAGCGCTTACAATGACATAGCAATGTGTCGACAATAGTCGCGTGTCGCTTGACACTCGAGACATGGGTTTTATACAGGGTGTTGTACATAATAAACCTTTATTTAAATGCGCATTTTTGGTACAAGCAAAATAAATAAGAGTAGCTTATTTAAATAAAACACTTTAACGGTTTAAAACGCGATATATTAGTTAAACTTATTTGAAAATGATTTTTGACTTCGGCCCGACGTTTCGGATGCTTTGCAGCAGCCGTGATCTTTACTTACTTTTTGAAAGGCCTCGTTGGTGTAATGGTAGCAATGTACGGCTAATAATCAATTTATAATTTTTCTGAAACATGTTGGACTTCGCCTGGAAATTCGATTAATAAATGGGTGGTAGGAATATCAAAATTCCGCCCGGGTCACAAACCACCGTCCACAGGTGAAAAAGCCGTGAAGCTTAATCACGTTTCCGTTTTAGTCTGTGGATTTACCAATATCCAAAGCCAAAATAGGTCGACAACAGATCTTGTTGAGATGCCATAGGCTGGGGTATTTCAGCAAGTGAGCCCCAGCTTGTATGTCCTTCTCTATCATAAAAAAACATACTGTACATGAAGGTATAATCTATTGAATAGAAGAAGCAGTCCGTGTATCGGTCTCACATCGGTGATGGCCATTGTCTATGCCTCTTTGTGCCCACACTATTGAGTTTCTTCTATCTAGGTCACTGCTTCAATTGTCTTGATATTTTCTAGATAAAATTACGGCGGATTGTTTTAAATGCGATTGTCTATTTCAAACGTATTGTGTAGCCTGAAAATGGCGTTTGATAGGCGAAGTCTGAATAGAAAAAATATTGTTTTCTAAAACATGCTTGGCAAAACCGCAGTAGTTGTACTGTTCGAGCAGCGGCCTGCAAAAGTTGTTCAAAGATTTGTCGTGTTTAGCGGCTATATAAATTACTATATACAATCATATTTGTTGTGTAATGTAAATAAAAATAACGATCTTTTAATCCGCACGATGGCGATCAAAGGGGCAACAGAGCTGTTTCGTAAAAAAACATCTGACGCGATTGTTTAATTGTACTTTTCCTGAATATATTTTTGCGTATGTGTTCGCACGTTCGTCCATCAAAGCCTTTCTTGCCGCACGCTGCAGTAATGTACTAATAAATGGTATAATTACTTACTTCAACATTTAAATAAAAATTATCTACACACACACACACACACACACAGTATATTACAGTACACACTATATTGACAGCTCTATGCTAGTTTCCCCTGCACTAAAGAAATCCTTTTATTAATCATTTAGCCAAAGTATTGCGTATTTTGTGTAATATAATATCTTATAATTCTTAAGTATTAAGTATATGTAAACAGTGGTTTGATAATTTAATGTGTTTCCAAATATAACATTATGCAACAATTCTCTGACGATAATGGGTCAATCATTGCTTAGGAAATTAAACAAAACACTTAAATGATCAATGATTTCTCAGTACAATGAAGTACTGAGGATAGTCCTATATATGGGTTTAACTACATGATCTATCATTTTTTAAACGGTTTTATTTAGCTCGACTCGTACAGAATTTATTTATTTGGGTCAAAATTAGAAATTGAAATTTAAGCACCTTCCCGTTGTCAGATTGATCCGAAATTTGGTACACACATTTAATTTAGATGACAATACAATATAATAACATCAACAACATTATAAATCTAAGATGGCCGCCATACAAAATGACGGATTACATATTTTTTCTTAACCCCCTCAATATGGGTATCAAATGAAAGGGCTACACTAGTAAAACAGGATGATTATGTCAAAATTTAAAATTTTTAGTAGTTTGCAGTGCACAAGCAATAAAACCGTTTAACTTAAAAAAAATGTAATAGCATACTACTGCAATAACACGTGCAGTATTAACCAACAAACGAAGAATTTAAAGTCAAAGTCAAAAACATTTATTCATGTAGGTAACTAGATACATTCATGAACGTAGAGTTAAAAACTAACAAGTCTAAATTTACATTCACTACCAGTTCTCAAATCGATCTCGATCATAAAAGTAGGAACTACTTTCGAAAAATTTCAGCGGATAATATAATAATAAGGAAAATATAAAACAAGAGCTGCTACAAAGCCAACTTTTATCCCCTTATAAATAGCTGATCTGAGCACCTATCAATCCAGTGGCCGGGTGGATAGCGTAATATTGTTAGTCTGACCACGGAACTCTCCCGGGTCAGATTTACCCATAAATTGAAGACGCTAAGTGATTCGCCCCTTTCAATCTCCCAATACCCAGCCGGATATTTTTTATCGGGCCGAGAGATTTTTCTTTTTAACAATTCATGTCCAATTTCTCGGACAAGGGTGGAAATTTTAGTGGCCTCGTTTTGACATCCATTGTGCTCGTGCTGTCTTTTCGTAACGCTATTGACAGATGGACGGGATGTATGAAGCATTTTTATGTAAAGAGGATATTGCAAATTCTAATTTGATGTTCATATTCTGTATAATTTCAATTATTTATTTTATTGAAATAAAACACTTTAACTGTTTGTAACGCGATATACAGTAGAACCTCTATAAGTCGAAAATCAAAGGAGTCGCCAAAAAATTCGAGTTATAGAGTTTTCGACTTAGAGAGAATTTCGACTTAGGCGGATTTCGATTCGACGTAAAGAGGTTGCGATTCATTCTTATAAAATTTGAGTAAGAGAGGTAAAATAAATAAAAATTGAAGTTGTATTGCTTCGAAACATCCTTAAAATACAAAAATATGCATTAAAACAAGTCAGTATTTTTTTATTGCTTTACACAGTTCGGTTGTTCTCTATCTATAGTATTGTCTAAGGTATAAGGGCAGAAAATTCTTGTTCTTCAGAGTTTGTTCTATAACAGTCCGGAAAGTATTCAATGCGGTTCTTGCGTCTTTTATGGACACCCATAGAGCGGATATATTAGATGTCTGGTTCATTTTTTATTATTGTTGACAGAGTACTCAGCGTAAACTACAGACAGTGTTTATTTTATATATATATATTTCTATTTTGTTTAATTATTAGTTGCATTTAATTAAATATACTTGTATAAATATTATTTCTTAATAAATATGTGTGTATAAAAGATACCTAATGATATAAATGTCAAAGTGTATTGTTTGTGTTAGCTCGGCCTCCGAATGGGCAACAGAATATCAGTTTTGGGACATTAGTCCCAACGTACTAGCTGAGTTGACTCCCTTTTCAGAGGCAACTGTACTATTTAATTTTAACTGTATTTAGTCGTAAAACATTATATATATATAATTATAAACATTATAATTCTCTAGTATGTTGGTAATATTAGAATGTATATTATTGTAAATTTATGTTGTTTTCAAGGACGTACGTACTTAATAAATAAACTCTTTAAATGTCAATTTTCATTTATAAACCTTCAGGAAATTTTTCAATTTCCCCTTGAAGAATCATTCCATCAGTCTCGAAATGTTCCATTCGTATTTTCCTTCGTATCTACAATAACAAAGCACCGCATAAAATATTATTAACGCCACCAAAAGGCGTATCTGTACAGAAGCCTTCTCGCGGCGATAAAAATGGAAATATCGACACAAATCAACTAGAGACGCCATAACGCCGAATGACCTGTCAAATATAAAAATTGTTGAAACGTAACAATATGCTGTATCAGTGCGAATGACCTTATCAGGGCTGTAAGGGCCTATAAGGAATAAATACTGAGATAAAATAAAGTTATTTTTCCAAAACGACGAGTATGCTAGACTGACCGTTACACCGAAGGGAAAATATTGAATAAGAAACCATTGACCAAGTAAGCGATGATGAATCATAAATAAAACATTGTATTTTTGCTTTACTATATGTTTAAATATTTCTCTAGAAGCAATTTTAATATAGCAATTATGGTACTATGTTTATAATAGAGCACATATTAAACTCAAATTGAAAGTCCGTTTAGAATTACTTCTAGTCCTCATTTATAGGTAGTTGTTTTGATTGGTTTAAAAATATCTTCTTCATGTTAGCTTCATCATTTTAGTGTTCATATTTTTTTATGATAATAATAAAATTCTTTAATGCACAAACATAGACATAAGAACATAGTTACTTAGAATAATAAATACAAAATAAAATATGTTGGTGCAATATGGCGCCTATGGCGATTTCTTCCAGGCAACCTTGCATGTAGAAATAAAAAAAGAGAAGGGAAAGCATTAGAAGATCATGAATGTGACTAAACTTAAAGTCAGCGAGACCAATTTATAGTTTGTATATTTTTAAAGGAAGGGAAATAGATATTTATATAGATGTTTTATTATGCATAAAATACGTATACCATGCCTACCTTACCAAAACGTGTTATAACTAACCTTGCTTTTATAATTACAAAATATCTAATGAATGATTATATATGTTGTATACTTGATGTACAGTTACAGTACAAGCAAAGTGATGTTGATTTATAATAATACCTACTAAAACTAGATTTTTATTAACTGAATAATTGGAATACAATCTATTAACTCTATGACGTAATGCACTTTCAAATACTTGACACTTAAATAAAAATTGTGACTTGTTTGCTTTTACGTTTGGCCATGCACCTTTGTATTACACTACCTTGTGATATGCACCCAAACGGATAGCCCAGGGCAAGTGGGTTAAAATGGTACATGCAATAAAACACCCCTTCTGCCCATAAATATCCCGGTTCGGAAGTTGGTCTGTTAGTGGTCGCTTTTTTCCTCCACTTTTATTTATTGAAGACATCTGAGGGTATTTCGATGTTTATTTGACCCTTTCTCTCAGCGGTTATAGACAGGCGATTTATTTAGTTTGTTAACTGCTTTCGACAAGCTTTCAATACTGGTGTAACTTGAAAGATTACCCCAGACAATTCAGCTACAAGAAAATAGGGAAAATTCAGAATAATATCTACTGACCATTTATTTTCGTGATTTATTATAAGTTATTATAAACGTTTTGTACGTTTGTTAGTGTAACAATATGTTGAAATAATTCAATGGCGTCGTATAGAACACTGTAGCTCAATTGATTAGAGCACTGTGAATGCCGGTTTGAGTCCTGTAAATGCTTTTTTAACCTAAAGAGATGTTTAATTAACATAATTCCAACAACATTTAAACAAAACTTTTTTCAATAGTTGTAGTAATATTTCATGTTACAATAAAATGTAATATAGGTAGTACAAATGTCATATATGTCAATAATATTATTTCACTGAACTAAAAAAACATCGACACTGACACTAGTAATAACTGACACCACTAAGCCATATATTTTCCGATTATTTGGTTTTGGTTCAAAGGATAAATCGGTAGTAATAACAAGAATAAGAAGACTTCGCCGTCTGTCTGTCACCAGACACTATCTCAAGAATCGCGATAAACAAACAATTTACATTTTTACAAATCGTGTATATTTTTAACATAGTCAAAATACCTAGGTTTATCTCATATCTAGCTTGATAGTACGTGTACATGTTTTATATATCTCTCTAATTAAATAAAAATATAAACTTCAGTGAGTTATTGTTCCATCCTACTGTGTTAGCAACAAATCAAAACTATCAACTTTACCAATAAGAAAATCCAACTACCCACACAACAAGATTGCGGAGTTTATCGACATTCATCTTAGCCCCAGGGGTCTGCGAATAAAACTGTTCAACTAGAAACAGGAAAAATCGCCGTTTAACCCTCTCCACCCCTGCGTTTATGTCTAACAGCTATAACTTACCCTTCGATATTTGATAGTTTGCCTTTCTAACGTACTAAAATAGGCGATTCTTCTTAAGAAACAAAAATAATTTCTTTTATTTTTCGTCACGTTTTACAAACATTGTCCAAAGGTTACTATATTATAAGTAGCGTAATATGAAGTCTAGATTCCCATACATAACTTAAAGCTGTTCTATGGTACATACATTTTTATGTTAACTTTACTCTTAAAGTTTTCTTATGCGTTGAGTGATGTATTACGATAGTTATCTGACTAAATACTGTCTGTAGTTTACGCGATTAGTACACATTTAAATAATATTAGTTAAACTTATTTGAAAATTATTTTAAGTACGGTCCGACGTTTCAGATGCTTTACAGCAGCCGTGGTCACAGGGAGAAACGAAGTCTCAAAGAATATATATCGCATTTTAAACCGTTAAAGTGTTTTATTTTAAAGTTATCTGACTAGTTATTACTTTCGTCGGGTGTCGGCTTTTTATTAATATAAACTCTTTTAGTTTTAGCTAAAAATTTAAGAGGAAATTGCTACACACTATTACAAGAGAGATCGTGAGAAATTTTAAAATAAGAACGTCTCCCATGAACGTTGCGTCCGTATCCTTCCAATAAAGACGCGTCAAACGAGTGAAGAATGTCTGCAATTTAAATTTTTGATTCCGCCTTCGAGGACACCCCACACTTTTCAGCGCTGCAATTTCCCCGCCCGCCTTAATAACGTTAAGGTCGGTCCAGATAGTGACATCACTAATATTAATGAAGGAAACGACAGACAAATATGTCTGTACTACATACGGTCTACAGACCAGACTTGTGAAGGCTAGATTTCCATTTTATCTATAACTAAGTAAATACTGTAGTTTACGCAAGTAATGCACATTTTAATAAAACGCTTAACGGTTTAAAACACGAAATGTATTAGTTAAACCACCCCGTGACCACGACAGCTGAAACGTCGGGCAGCAATTAAAATAATTTTTTAAATAAGCTCTACTAATATATTTCTTGTTTTAAACCGTTAAAGTGAAGTACTGTGCTATATTTTATTTAACAAAGAAACTTATTAAATACAGAGGTATACACTTTTATTTATATTAAGTGTTAATAAGTGACAGATAAGTATTTAGTAGACAGGAAAGTCACTAAATACCAACTATGTCAGAACAGATGGCGCATTGCAGTTCTTATTTTGACATTATACACACCCTCCATCTTTAGTCTCTCCGTGGCCACGGCTGCTGGAAAGCATCCGAAAAGTCGACCCGTAGTAAAAATAATTCTCAAACAAGTTTAAATAGTACAGTAAATAAACATTTGTATCAAGTATGTGTTTTATGAGAAAATGACTGACAAAGACTTGGGTCCATAAGGGGACTGATAATAATAGTATATTTAACAGCATTACTAACATTGCAAAAAATATGCTATAAAGGTAGTCATGAAGTTCCTATTACACTTCTAACGCCAAGAGAAAGTGTGGATAAATTTATACAAGTGGAATAGAGTACGTAGTGTGTGAACTCATCTTTAGACACCATTACTCGAAGCAAACGAATGACTAAAAGAGTCGAGTTGATTGAGCGAAGAATGGATACGATAAAAGTAATTAAGGACGTTATTGGGAAAAATTATTGAGATAAAACGTTTCAGTTCCTCTCAATTAGATACGCCGGTTGA